TTGATTCTTTCTTTATTCAATATTTGGTTTTGTTCCATTATAAAATTGTCATTCTTATGAGAAGTTATAATTTCATTAGAATAAATGTCCTTGTTATAAACTTTCAGGTTAATTAAAAAAAAAAATGAATTAATTTTTAGATATTTTTAATTGTTGTAATAGCATTTTGGTATTTTTAAATGACTGACTCACTTGACTTGGGAAGATTGTATTAAGATTAATGTCTGCTAAATACAAAACTTCATTAATAAATTCAAAGTCACTAAAAGTACCTTTTTGAACACACCAAATAAGATGGTTTAATGCTTCAATACGAAGACGTTCTCCACATTCTATTTCACAGTCATTAGCAGCGTCAAGAACAATTTTAATACAACTTTTAATCATTTCTTCATTTCCACTTTTCCATAAATGAATTGTATTTAACACTTCTTTACATCGTTTTGGTCTATTGGCAATAGCTTTCGCATGTTTAGTTAGTAATAATACCATGTCATTATATTCTTGACGATGAGAAAGAAGTTGTACTGCACCAATAATCTTTTCAAGACATTCTGCTTTGATAAAATCATCTTCTACAATTTCTGTTTCTCCCACAGCAAATTCAAAAAAATATAATGAATGTATGTACTGAGCTTTTTCTCCAGCCAACATCGCTTGGAGTGCAAGTCCTATGGCTAATGGGGCATTAGTAGTAACCAATTTTTTTATTCTATTTAAGAATCTCTCAAATAAAACATCCCTTTCCATTGCTGATTGTGAATGTATTATTAATTGAAGTTCTACTTCAGCTATAGACTTTAGGGGCACTTCTCCAAGAGCTATGTTTATGTATTGATCTACAAGAGAAAGAGTTAAAGCACAAGAAGACTTATTACAAATTTTAATTCTTGGGAAAATAGACAACGCCATACTTAAATCATTTTGTGAATCAATATCATTTACTTCTGGTTGAAGCAATAATCGTACTATTTTTAATATGAGAGATGCATCAGAATAAGATTTTAATATAACGTTTTGACGTTGTAAAGATTCAACAACTAGTCGAGCAATTTTACGTTCGTTTGAAGGAAGTAAAAGGTTGAGTAAAGTTAAAAATCCATCAACTTTTATTGCATTTAACAATGGAATTGTTCTTAAAGTAAGTTCTAATGCCATACAAATATGAAATTGAACACCAGTAGGAACTTGCCCTGAGCATATACTTAAAATTGACTTAAATAAATGTTCTAATTGTTGGCAATAACTTCCTTTATTATACCAACTAAAGATTATACGAAGAATAGAAACTAGCAACAAAGCACCATCATTAGGAGATGTTAATCCACTGTTAACCATTTGAACAACCTTTGCTTGTATTGATTCAATAATATCAAAATGATATTCAGAAGATACATTAGGAAGTTTGTCAAGAAATGGAGCTAAACATAATTTTAAATCAATTTTGCACATTGGAGAAGTTAAACCTGCAAGAATTTCTGGCATACAAACTAATTGTAAAGGTACAGGGAATGTTTCTATAAGAATTAAATAAAAGAATTCTTGTGCAGTTGTTGAACATTCAATCACTGTTTTCTGAAGGTTCATTAAAATGGCTCTAAATAATGGTGCACTAAGTTCTAAAGAGGATAAATAACGTAATGAACGTAATGCAAGAGTACAAATTGGGGCAGCTTGGTCTGAGACAAGATATTCGGATTCTACGACATGAGATAAAGCACGAAGTGATATGGCTATGTGAGAAAGAAGGAATTGAATTGCTAGTGTTGAGTTGTTAATAAATACTGGAATTGAAATAGTTAATAAATGATTCAATGCAAATACACGATGAGTTGGAAGACTTACAGTTCTTATTACAGTTAATAAAGCATTTAATGATCTATTTGCATAGTGTTGTCCTTTATGAATAGAAGCAACAGCAACATTCATTAACATGTAACAACGAACTACAGCATCAGGTATTTGAAGAATAAAAGAAGTAATAAGGTTCAAATCCATTTTAGTTTGTTGAAGATAAGTCTGAAATTCTTCTAAAGGATGAACACAAGTTAAATAAATTTGATAATAACATTGACTTGATATATTGTATGATAATGGTGTAAGAATATTCGTTAGTGTATCTATTATTTCTCTTATTTTATCAAACTCAAATAACTCTTTCAATTGTTTAGATGATTTTCTGATATTACTTAACACGACTTCCATAGGAGGAAGTGAATTTATGTTGTTTTTGTTTGTCTTTGGCATAAAAAATAAAAAGAAGATCTTTTTAGATCTTTTTTATAATATTTAATTAATAAAACTATAGTTTTATAATTTTCCAAATAACAAAAATGAATTGAAAGTCAATGTTATTTGAAATTACCTCATTTATTATTTTTTATCAACAGTAAATAGTCATTTATTGTTATTTAAAATATGTTACAGTGCTATTGAAATATTGAATTAAATCACTAATATATTTTGACTATTGTGGTTGTACTAAACAAAGATTCAAAACATACAAAACAAAATTTTAATTTGTTAAGTTTTAGTTATAAAAATTGTTTTATTTAATTTATTCCTTTTTAAAAATTAAATAAAAATTATGAAATTAAGTTTTAGTTGATATTGATTTTTCTATTTCATTTTATTTGTTTAACGTTATTTCATTCACTCTTTTTTGATTCTTGTTCATGACATACTTCTATACCCATATCCTCTTCTATTCTCTAAATATTATTTCATTAAGTTTTTCGTGTTTTTATTGATAATATCTTATTTAATTATTTCAAATTGCAATGCAATTAAAAACCAAGAAATTGCAGAA